AATTTTGGTCGGCTGGCCACTCCTGGGAAGGTTCTCCACTGTTCCATGTTTTCGCCATTTGTGGATAATGGCTCTCCCTGTGGTTCGCTGCAGTCCCCAAGCTTTAGAAATGGCTTTATAACCTTTTCCGGACTGATAGAGCTCCATTATTCTCTTTCTCATTTGTTTTTGAATTTCTTTGGATCTCGGCATGATGTCTAGCTTTTGAGGATCTTTTGGTCTACTTCACTTTAAATAATGAAGACTAGTTAAGTGATTTCTTGATTGCGAACAGGTGTGGCAGTAATCAGGCCTGGGTGTGGCTAGAGAAATTGAACTCAGGTGTGATAAACCAGTGTTTTGACAGGGGGGCAAACACTTGTTCACACAGGGCTATATAGTTTTGGATTTTGTTTTCCCTTAATAATAAAAACCTTCATTTAAAAACTGCATGATGTGTTTACTTGTGTTATCTTTGACTAATATATAAATTTGTTTGACGATCTGAAACATTACAGTGTGACAAACATGCAAAAAGATAAGAAATCAGTAAGGGGGCAAACACTTTTTCACAACACTGTACTAAAGAATTATTACAGAGTGCTAACATTCTTACACCCCACCCACAATGTTCCATGTGTTAGTAAAGTAGTTTAGTAAGATTCAAAGTCTGCTCCAGTTTGCTTTGCTTCAAGGTTAGAAGACAATGTTGATTCTGAAAAGTGTACCTTGACACCAGTTGTTTTCTTGTATTAATCTTCTGTAAGAATTATGTCTGAATGTGTGTTTTAGTTACACATCACGTATACAACATACACACACATGGAATTCTTCATTTTGTTATGTCCAACTGCTCCAAGCCTGTGGAGCCCTAGATAAGAGAAGGAGACGTCGGACTGTCTCCAACTCCTGATGTTTTTACATCTGTCTGTGTAAGGGGTTAGCCCAAAACCTTATAAATGTATTAGGCTCTGTGTTTCCGGGGTCTCTCTTCTCCAGCAGCTTGCCTGAGGGAGGGAGCCACCTGGGTTTGTGCTTCTGTAACTTTTATTTGTGGTCTTTTTTTAAATAAACCAGCACTAAAATGAAACAAGTCGGACTCCGTCTTCATTCAGATCTGTTCAATAAAAGAACTGGGGGTATAACACAAGCAAGAAGCAACTTTGTCAGTGTAAACTGTGCATGGCTGGGACACACTGTACCTGCATGCATGTTTGTGTACTCTGCACCAAAGTGCCTCCACTGGAAACCATACACAGGTCCCAGGTCGCCCTCTTCCCTGTCTGTGAACCCAAGACTGTCCAGGAAGTCCCGTGATCCATTGGCATCCCAAATCTTCACACCTTTCTTGGAGAGCTCCTTGGCATTTGTTGATCCCTATGACACATAAAATAAGAGTGCAACTAAGTGCATTTTGACATTGGTCAAAATCTAAACAATGAATCCCAAAAACTATCTGCGTGTCTCGATACCACAAGAGGAAAGTAAATGTTTTTTTTTAATCATTTGGGTGAATTAACCTTTTTAAAAAATAAAACATTATCATCCTCACCTTGATGAACCACAGCAACTCTTCAAGGATCGCTCTCCAAAACACCTTCTTGGTCGTCAGCAAGGGAAACTGGTCTAGAAATAATCAGGGTTCATGATATTACTGACTACATTATTAATGACAAGTAGTTGTAAAAGCACATTCTGTAGCCTGACTACATTTCTTTTGTCATTAAATGCAGGTGTTCAATCCGATTTTTTTCAGTTCCCTTATCTATAAGACTGCATATTACAGTCTGCAAAATTTACTATTTATACTTTACAGTTCAACATGGCGCCCACCAAGGCGAACGTGTTTGTGCGTTCCACTCTTGAATGCCGGTTTTTTCGTTTTCTTCTTTTTTGTGTGTTTTTTGCTTTTTCTGCAGTGCACAAATGCCATGCACTGCTTACATACAACAGACAGGCATTGCTGGATATCGCCAACTCACAAAGCCACTGGGAATTTACTGGTTTCATACCACCGGAGCTACAACTCATTGTTCGCTCCGGCGACAATAACAATGGCAAGGAAAGCCACCATCGCCCGTGGGGAGCCTCCGGAGCACCACGCACAAGCGAGCAGGCTGAAATCAGGAGAAAAACCCGGAGACAGAGACGCAAACGGGGCAGGTGAGGAGGACTCCATGCTAGGCTAAAAGCTCACGCTACCCGACCGCCATTACCCAGCCTCTTCCTTGCTAATGTACAGTATCT